GGAGATTTTTGGTGGTAATTGAAGAGGACATCGTGGGCTTTCCAACGGTATCCAAATTCGGCGGTCTTGGTGGTTGGAAGTTGCCGGAAAATCGCCGCAAAACTTGCCCAAAAAATATGAAAATTCAATGACCGTTTGTGAAAGAAATTTAAATTTCAGTGACCGTTTCTGCAAGTTTTAAATTTTAGTGACCATTTTGTGATTTTCAAGTAACTTCAGTGACCATTTGTGAAATTAACCCCTGTTTTAAATTATCAATCTTATTGAAAATAAAGATCATGAATTACGACACAGATATTTACAGCCTGCACCATATCATCATTCTATACTCATCGTCGTGCCTCGTGGGATTGTAAATTTAGCGGTGGTTTGAAAAAGTTTTTGATAAAAAAAAACAAAATTTTACCAGATTTTGATAAAAGTTATTGAAATATATGGTTGAAAAATTGATATAATTTGTGGGTTTCATAAAATATAATATTAAATTAATTGTTGACTTTAATCTCAAATATTTAGTATTTGTCTGAGGCCCATTTTCAGGAAAAATAAATTTGAAATAATGATTTTTTTTAAAGAATGTATGATTAAAAAATAGAGAAATTTTTTAAATTTACGTTTAAAATTATTTTATCGAAAAATATGAATTTTATAGAATGAGGTCATACATGAGCTAAGGAACTTTTCCAAACAACCCTTTTTAGAATGTTGATTCTTCAAAGTCAACGTCAACTGTCATCTTTTTAATTTTTCCTTCTAGGTATTTAATGAGTTGAATTACACGGGAGAATAGACTTCTGCCGTGATTGTTAGGTCACAAAACAATAGCCTAATTGGTTTTAAATAATAATAATAATAATTTCTCTTGAGGCCGTGTTTGGTTCACATTATTTTTTTCATTCTCATTCTTCTACTCATTTTCAATCACACATTCTTCAATAAAATAATATTTTTCATCACATCAATAACTTTTCCTTCTTTTTTAACCACATATTTCTCATCACATCTACAATAAATAGTAGACAAGAATGAATATCATTAATAAGGATTCATTTGATATGAGTTTGAAAAGTCAAAACTCCGAACGAGACTAAGTCCCTGTTTGGTTTGAATTAAAATTTCAAATTAAAATCAACAATTAATTTTAACTACACATTTCATGAGACTCACAACTTTTCAACTACAAATATCATCAACCGTTATCAAAATCTAATAACAAATTTTAATCTGTACCAAACAGAGACTAAAGAAATACTTTTGAATGAGTGAATAATTTTTTGAATATGTTTTGTGCGATTGGAGGAGTTTTTAAAAGAAGTAATTTCTTCAAAACGTTCTACTTCTACACGAAGCAAAAGTTTTACCAGAACGCATGCAATTTTAATTACACTGACGTATTCTAAATCGACAAATTCGTGGTGGATGTGAGTTAGTTACAATTATCGTGAACAAAAATGGCGGAAATAATGGGGAAATTTCTGGATCAAAAGAAACAGTCAATAAAAAAAATACCAAATCAAATTCTATAAACAAATTCAGTTTATTCAAACAGAAAAAAAAACACGCACACACATACACAAAGCCAAAATTGCAGAATCTGTGTGTATGTATGTGTGTGTGATTTTTCTGATTCCAATTGCTTAATTGGTTGAATATTCTGCGCAAGATTATATATATATACACACAGTTTGTACTCTCTCTGTTTCTCATTTTAGCAATAAATGACAACAAAAAAGGTACGTATTATTTATTCTCGCACACCTGTATACATTTCAGATTCATATTTTATGAGATATATCGTCAGTTAGCTGTGATTTGATTGTTATTTTGTTATGCATGTATATTATACGTTCTCTTGTATGTATCGGAGTTTGCAGTTTGTTTATATTGAGCTATCCTTGGGTAAATTTATTGTTTAGCTAATTTATCTGGCGATCGATAGCGCAAAAACTTTTGATTGGATTTCGAACTGTTGAATCGTTGATATTCAGCACTGGGTTTCATAATTTGGGACTATTTCATGGAGACTGTTTTAAGATTTGATTCGAAATTGGTGCTATTTTATCGTCTACAAGCTTCTTCATAGGAATTATAATGTTTGCTTATAAAACATGTTGATCAGTCCTTAGCTTAGCTAATAACGGAGTTTTGATTTCTTCGTTGGACATAGCATTAAATTATTCAGCCAATACAAGATTTGGTTTTTCGTTAATTGTTTTTTAATACGACAGCCATATGTCTTGGAGAGTACAGTTCACGGAATCTGCTTAACCACGTCGTTCATCCTCGTTTGAACATTTAGTGCTACTGTTGGAATCAAGAATCCTCCCATTTATAGGAACCGTCAGTGGCTAATTGTTGAATTGTTCAGAACTCAGAGCAATTTCATTGATGAGAATTTTTTGGTAGACAAGTTTTAGCAATGGGGTACATGAATACAGAGAAGAAATGGGTATTTCCTCTTGTTATAAGTTCATTGCTCTGTGTTTTCCTTCTTGCAAACTCCTTCAATATGGGGCTTGTGTCATCATTGCGGACACTGTTCAATCATACCAATGTTTACTTTGAGGCAAAGGTTAATCAAGCTCCACCGCCTTCTGCTCTTCCTTCCATTCCAAAGTTCGCTTATTTGGTTTCTGGGTCAAGGGGCGATTTAGACAAGCTTTGGAGGACACTTCACACACTGTATCATCCATGGAATTATTATGTCCTTCATTTGGATCTTGAATCACCTCCCAAGGAGAGACAGGAACTCAGTTCTCGAGTGGAAAATGATCCTGTTTTTTCCAAGGTTGGGAATGTGTATGTGATTACCAAAGCGAATATGGTTACCTATAGAGGACCTACAATGGTATCTAATACTCTTCATGCATGTGCAATTCTTCTAAAACAACGTAAAGATTGGGATTGGTTTATTAACCTCAGTGCTTCAGATTATCCCTTGGTGACTCAAGATGGTGAGCTTTTTTAATTGTTTTTGCTATCGCATACTAGCAAGTTTATGCCCTCTATTTTTCCGATGTTCTTCTAACATAGCCAGTTCATTGTTGCAGATCTTATGTACACATTTTCCAATATAAGCCGTAAACTGAATTTCATAGAGCACACAAGCAATTTAGGATGGAAAACGTAAGTTTTGTGTGTTCTTTTGATTCAAGTACGATGGTGTATCAGATGTAAAACCATTAACGCGTAATAATATATTTGGTTTTCTTGCAGGCATGGAAGGGGAATGCCATTGATAATAGACCCTGGATTGTACCAAAAAAACAAGTCTGATATATTTTGGGTCGCACCTGGGAGAACCTTGCCTACTGCATTCAGATTGTTCACTGGTTAGTTCACACATTAGCTTTTACTTGACTCGTTGATATAGCATTTTCAGAATTTGCCACACTGCATGTTGTGCAGGTTCAGCTTGGATGATCCTATCGCGTCAATTTGTGGAGTATTGCATATGGGGTTGGGATAATCTTCCGAGAACCCTACTCATGTATTACTCAAATTTTGTGTCCTCCCCAGAAGGGTATTTTCAGACTGTTATCTGCAATTCTCCAGAATTTAAACCGACTGTTGTCAACCACGACATGCACTATATTTCCTGGGATTTCCCCCCCAAACAACATCCCCATACCCTCTCCATTAACGATACTGCAAAAATGATCGATAGTGGCGTTCCATTTGCACGAAAGTTCAAGAAGGATAGTAGAGTATTGAACAAAATTGATAGAGAATTACTCGGTCGAAGAAATGGGAGTTTCACACCTGGTGGATGGTGCAAAGGCAAGCCTCGCTGCGCCAAGGTAGGTAATCCAACCATACTCAAACCAGGTAGAGGCGCACAGAGGCTTCAGCAACTAATGAATAAACTGCTGACAGCTAAGGTAGCTCACCATCCATGTGGTTAGATAAATATTTGTATCGTTCTTGATCAACGACGGATAAAGGTTCACACTGAACGTGCATCTTTCTTCACGAGTTTCAAAAATAATGTCTTAAAAGAGTATTGTATCAAAGTAGACGCTGCTCTACTCACATACCATGTCTTGGTAGGTACTAATTAGTAATGCAGATACCAAATCCGAAGATTCAGATGATCAATCAGGATCATCTCGCGGTCTAGTCCTGCTTACAACTATTCCATTGCTATATAACGAGGCCCAAATCTGCAGATTATAGTTTATAAATGCACAAATTTTCTCAATTCAGTATACCTTTTGACTGTTGGTACATCAAATTCTACTGCTCAGTTGTTATTCACACATTTTATAAGACCCACAATTTATAAACGGTTAAAAAGCACTACCAAACAAACACTTAACCATGGCTCAAGCAATCACTTTCTACCCCATTCAAAATTGGGGACTCAGGTTGATAGGATAGCACAACAAAATGCTTGATAAGAATTTTTTGAATATATAAACAAAATTTCACTCTTCAAGTTCAATTCGTTCGCTAAGAACTAAGGGCCAAAATACGTCCGTATTGATCTCTGTTTCTTGTTACTATAACCTTCTATAAAGCAGATCGTAGGAATCCGCTCCTCTGGCTGTAAGTTACTTTTCTTTTCACCTTTTGTCCCGGTATAAGCATTTGTTTTTGCTTCCCAAGTGCCAATGATTCTGTGAACCAAATTAAACCATCTCCAAAAGCTTAATATGTCCCATGGAATTTGCTGCAACTAAGGTGGTTGACTGACCACGCCAGCAGACGGATGAGATAAATTGTGCGGTGCCATCCATGTCATCAAAACAAAGTGAATCCGTGCCAGTAAATTTAAATGATAATACAGGCATGGGGAAAGCTTTGTGGTATACGAACACCTGCATGGGGAAGGATATTATCCAACGCAGAAGGATAGAAACAATCATATTATTCCTGGATCAGACAACCTTTCCTAGAAAATTGACCAACTTCAGTTAACCGTTTCTCTGGAAAGAAACAGCGATTGACTGACAATTATAATGAAGTTTTAAGAAAACTATATTAGACCATGGTTAGTGATAAAGTGATTATGTGAGATACCTCATTTGTTTCCGAGCCAGTCGCGATATAACCTTCAGATACGGATAAGCCAACAAAATTCTGCAACAAAACAATGTCTACCATCAGATGTGAAGTATGATTACATTTCATTGGAAAGTGAAGGGAAAAGTTCATGGATTATGAATACGGCCAGGATGAGATTAGACAAATGCGGCCAACACGTTATACGGGACATTTGCCCGCGGGATAGGGACACATATAGATCAGGACTACTGTCGAATTGAATGAACGAAAGGCTTCTTTACCAAAGACAATTACATTATTGTTTCATACGTGCAAATGATGCGGGCAGATATCAGAAAAAGGTTAAAATGAAATGTTTAACCAGGTAAAATGGAAGTGCCTTTCCATCTGATCTTTCCAGTCATTAAAACCTGGCTGGAATTTCTGGATTGTTACAGCCCAAAACATGTAAATCAATATTGGGAGGGAGAACGCTGTAATAGCCAAATTTGAAATGAAAAGAGTGTAACGTTACTCCATCTTGTGTAATGTAACTAAATTTTAAATGACTTCCTCAAAAGACAAATCAAGATGTCAAATAAATAGGAAATTAAATTTAATGGGTTTCATAAATAGAGAGTAAAGAAGAAGATACCTTTACATTAAGGTGTCCCGTAAATGATTGGAGAGGATAATCTAGAACTCTTGATGTACTCCTTGCCAAATCCCAAAGCTTTAATGTGTTATCCGTAGATGCCGAAACAAGAGTAGATGAATCTATGAACTTCACATTGCTCACGGTTTTATTATGCCCAACTAAAGTGCATAGAGGCATTTTTGAGTTACGTAGATCGTAGTAATATATTCTATGATCAGCAGAACCAAAAGCCAGGAAATGGCCATTATCCATGGGGAACTGAACGCAGCAAACATTGGCCTTTGTTCTAATGGTACCAACACTTGCTCCCTGCATTAGTAATCCATGTAAGACAAACAACTTATTACACATTCAGAGTTCAATCTGCAAAGATAACTAGATGACTGTAGTACGTTTAGTTTCAAAGCTGACATCCATTAAGTGCAAAAATAGAATTGCCTGATTGACATTCCAGAGCTTAACAGAGCCATCGTCACTCCCGCTGGCCAGCATTGTTGGATCTGCCACTGAGAAGTCAATAGACCAGACGCGCCGCTCATGTTCTTTCATTTCCATGAATATCTGGCTTCTCGTGACATCCCATACCTGGAAAATATATCATGTAAAATAGTTGATTGTGAAGGTGAGTTATATGTAAACAGTAATTAGGGTTTTAATTGTGACCTACCTGCACCCCCCCTTCAAAGTTACTGGAAGCGATCTGGCTTTTGATATAGCCATTCCAACATAGGTTGCTAAGCTTTGATCTACTTGTCATTTCCACCACAGGATAATGAATATCCCGATCTTCATTTATGATGGAATTATATTCAAAAACTTTGATCTTCTTGTTTACACCAGCAGTTGCAAAAAAATCACCATCACGGTCGAAACTCAGCGAGCACACCAGGTTGGATGAATTTAAAAGATCCCCTTGCTTCAAGTCAGCCTTAACTTTTAGCTTACTAAAAGAGAGATACTTAGATAATCCCTCTAAAAATGTATTCACCCATCCACCTTGCCTACACTCACTATACTGTTCTTTAGTTGAAAGATTACTAATCGAACTTTTTTCAGTAACTGCCATAGATCCCTTAACATTGCTGCTAACTGGAGAATGTTGAGTCAATGGTCTGGCTACTGGTTTGGCAGACCTGCGTCTTGTCAAAAGGTAAGCCAATTCCAATTTTCTGAAATTCTTCATCAGTCGAGAACTTTTGGAGAGAACATTTCCTTGTTGTCCAGAAGGCATTTCTGATTTCTGATGCTCATCTGCCTGACCATCAGATTCTTCCGGGTTATTGTTATAAAGACCCTGCCTGAAACGCTTTCTAGACACTGAGCTACCAGAATCATCATCATCATCATTAATAATTATTCTATCTGGACCTGAAGTCGAATTCTTCCCCAACTCTAAACTCGAACCTCCTTTTGCCCTGAGAGCCATAAGCAGCTTTGTGACTTCTTCTATGTCAAAAGATATAAAGGAGATTGTCTCATGAAAGCTATCTGCAGCATCTTGTTTCCTTTGCTGCGTCACCATAAGAAATTCCAACAATAATTCCTGCTCCTCTATTTTTTCTTGAAGCTCCATAGCAGCTTCTTGTTCTTCTATGCTATCTCTTGGTTCATTCAGAAAATCACTTTGCAACAGCTCACTGTTATGCATAGGAAGATGTAGAATAAGATAGGGAAATTAATCTTTTGTCAGACAAATTACTTGCCAAAATTTTTGCAAAACCCACCGTGCAACTTCAAGACGAACCCTAAAAGGGGTAGTTGAGGAGGGTTTGGGGTCAGCAAGCAGGTACTGAAAAGCACATATAAATGATATCATCTTTTTTATGGAGACATAAGTAGGCGTGCCCAAAGAAAATCTCAGTGTTTCAATGAAAAAGTCCTTATATTGTTTCAAAGAAACAGTTTTTACATTTACATTTGCTCACAAAAGCATTTAGTAGTTCAATACAACAGCCAAAACGACCAAATAATTTTATAACACGAACTTTGGATGAATTCCAGACAAATTGATCGTTTCAAACCCACCCCTATCCATGGTATTTTTGCTCATGAGATAAGCAATTGGCTTAAGGACATAGTAAGCATAACACACATCAGCCTGAATCTATGAAAGAAACTTTTAGACTACAAAGATTGATGTTTGAAGAAAAACACACCAGCTGGTGCAGTAGAAAACAAGAGAAATCTTCAATAAGAAGGCAAGTGGTGGAAGCATAAAAGCACAAATGTCAACTGAAATTTTAGAAATGTGACAGCAAAAACTTGCCTCATTCTAGGCCGGCCACTTGGCTCAGGATGCAGCAACCATAAGCAAAATGTAGCTTCTTTAGGCCACTTCAGAAGCAACTCAGGAGGGAGGACGCGATGTTTCAGGCTTTCCATAGTTGTGCTTTTTTCTTCTAGAGAGCTAAATGTGCAGAATAGCTGGTAATATGTTATTAACTACATCAGTAAGGTGTTAGAAAATTTATTCTAGTCAAAGACATGCACATCAGTTCTAATCTAAAACAGTATTTGCACAGGAAAAACAGAGATGCTTAGTATGATTTATTTTAGCTTACTTCAAAGAGAAGGACTCCGAGCTGATAAATGTCTGAAGCACAAGAATTAGTTCCCCTGGAAAGTTCTTCTGGACTTCTGTACCAGTTGGATTCCATGAGCAATATTTGTCTCATTGGGAAATAATACTTATTATCTTCTGTTCGCTCATTGTCGCTGGCTTCAGAAGCATGCATCACCAGACCTGAACATAATTGCAAGCAACAGATAAAAATCATTTGCGAAGATCATTTACTGACTTCCTTTCAAGCTGATAGTTTTTGGCCCCTAACTCACTTTGAGCTTGTTGGTGCAAGTGTGTGTGATGTGAGACAAAGGTAATGATGAACCTTTAAAGTCAACCGCTTGGCTTTTGGACCTGTCTTCAAGAAAATCTGAACCCGCATCCAGAAAAGAAGCAGACTCTATGAAAGAGACACGCTTAAACAAGGAAATGACAAAGCATGACGGCCGCACATTGCGAACAACAATTCCCTGAGAATGCGCCAGGTTAACAATATCCACAATTTGAGAAAATATGTGAAGGCATTCCAGAGCATCCACTTTCCTTTCTGGATTATTCAACCATTGTCTCAAATTAACATCACCGGATTGCGCAGTTTTGTCGCTGGGCTCCATAGAGGCAGAATCTTCAGTGTCTCTAACTTGTGTTCTACAGTGGGTGGCATGTGGCCAGAGACTTGTTTCCCTCCCCTTTCTTCCGGACATGAACCCAGACTCTTGGGTTGTATCGTCACCTGAGGACCTGATATTTCTTGCACGGATAATTCTAGAATTTCTATCAAAGTCCGACGAAGATGTCAATGCCCTAGAACTATTAGACATCTGCCGACCAGACGTCCACGAGCCTTCCATTATTATCTACCTATTAATATAACTACACCTCCATTATTATCCACCCATTAATAAGATAAACGCAAAAGAATCCTGATAAACACAAACAATTGTACAATGAAATACTCCAGTCACTATTAACCAATTCTTTCTATTCCAGTGCAATCTTGAATGAAGAACACGTTATATCCCAAAATAGAAACCAATTTGCTCCAAAAGGCTACAATATCTACAAGCTAAATCAAGTCGAGTAAAGTGTCCAGTTGATTGTATAACTACGTAACCTTTTTAGCATATTCAAATAAGCTTAAAGAATTCATATGAGCACAGAAAAGATCAACATAACTGCGTACCCTTTATAGCAAATTCTACAAATTATCAACAAACCAAGGCAATGAGAAATGATAAAAAAAAAAAACCAAATCATGACATCGACAACCATTTTAGTACTTGCAGAAACACAGTGTACCTGTGCGTGTATGGCTACAAAGAGAGAGAAAGAGAGGACAAAAAGTACCAATTATCAGCATGAAAGCAGTAGTGTGGCTGGTGGGCAAAAGATTCTCTATACTTTCACTCCACCAGATAGAAACAAAAGAGCGTCGCCTTTTTTTCCGAAGGAAAACACCACAGCCTCGAAAAATTCCACAACCTCAAGAATTTTTGCCAAGAAAAGAAAAACAAAAACACGGCCATGAAGTTCAACACAGTTCGGGGTGATCCATATTCCAGTACTTGTTCTTCCACTAAATTAATATCATCATTTTAAGAAACCCTATAGAGATACTCTGTATCTATAATTAGTATATGCAGTCATTCCTACTTCAATTCCAATAATGCATTCTCATGTGTTTGTTCGTATATGAAGACGTGGCTAAATCACATCCTAGCTGCTCTTTCAAAAACATTGACAAATATCAGTATTTTATCCATTTGTGGTCCAGAATGATCTCCAAATTCCAATGCACAGCCGTAGAACTCACAAGAGGTCAAAATTAAATATAATAATTTAACCAATGGCTTTAAATTAAGCTAATCAGAGGGTGCAAAATAAGTAAATTATGGCAAATAAACGTGATCAATTCAACTAATTGTTAATCAACAAATTAATTATGAGAAAAGTACTGGACCTTCACACCATCATCATCCTCGAAGGCTGAGAAAACCATGAACTTTATGATTATACTTCCACTTTAGGAGTTGCACGCAATTAAAGAGGCTGAGAAATGATTATACTTCCAATTGACCAATAGAAAGAATTGATTTTTATTAGAATATATTTGTTAGGTGCAACGGTAGATTGAACTGAATAAAAAAAGGACAATTCTTGAGGTTTAGGGTTTACGAGGATTTAAGTTTGTAATGACAATTTTGACATTTAAGTTACTATCTTATAAGCTTGAATTTGCAAATTGTATGAAACAAAATTTACAAATTGTGAATTTGTCTGTTTGACAAAGTTTCGATATTTGTTTCTACTTTTTATAGAAGTTTCTTGAAAAAATTACCTTCAACCAACTTTTTCGTAAAAGTTCTTCTAATCAGATGATAATGGTGACAAGACGGATTTACCAATATCTTCAAAATTCAATTGAAATGTATTTTCAAGAATAAAACCCCAAATTGGAATCCAATGGTACAGAAGCCAACTATAAATTCACCAGAGTCCTTAAAATAGGCTAATTACTTGAAAATTCGGTATCACTCCACAAGATATATAAATGAGATTTTCCATGTCCCATCAGCAAAACACGTGCTTTTTTGACAACCTTCAGAACTCTACCTTCAACAATGTACATGTACCTTTTTGAATAAAAAATACTTAATGAAATAAGGTTTTTCTATAAATTTGGATCGTGTCTCACTGCTTCAAGTGTTCAACTGTCCCATCAAATATCTTTATTCTAACCGACCAATATCAACTATCCAACAAGGCGTATTATTATCGATCATCACAACAACTTTTGAAATTTCTTCATATGTTAGAAATAATTCTCAATTAGGTGACATATGAAAAGTGCAAGTTGTATAAAAAATTCAAACCTCACCAAGTTTGGAGTTGTAGTCAGACGTGAGTAGAAGTTCTCCATCATTGTTAGGATTTTCTGAAATACTTGCTTCTTCTGAAATTTTTGATTGTTGATTTGTAGTTGACTTTGATTTATTTTACAACTTATAATAATCGTTTATCAAGTGCTATTTTGTCTTGCAATAATTATAAAATTTGTAATAAGATTTTGACTTGCCCATCGAAGGACCACCATGAATAATGAGACCGTATCCATGATCTCCAGATGCTACAAGATGCTTCATCTTTTCCTTTGAATATAGAACATCGTAGACTTCTTCAGCTAGGTGGTCCTCAAGAGATATACCTTAGTCATACGATGAGAATATAGATGTTGCTTTAGATATAATTTGCTAGTAAGACTCTTCATCATGCATAATTATTTCAATTTTAACCATAATGTAGCAACTAACTTCTCTTTCAAAACTTCATAAAGAATATTATTTGAAAGATGAAGATGTATTTGAGATGGGGCCTTTCGATCACTCCGTTATTTTTCTTCCATAGTCCAAATTGTGGGCATCTTGTCAAATTCTAACAACGCGTCGTCAAAATCCATTTGAGCGAGTACTGTTTACATCTTTACCTAGCACAAATAAAATTTTGTTTTGCGATTTGATAGTGGAATATCATACTTCATTGTTGTTATCACGAAAAATCTCTATCTTCCAAAAAATTTCAACATCAAAAGCTCTTATACCAATTTATTATGAAAATAGTAGATGATACCAGGTTAATCCAATAGCAAATTGTTGGAGAAAATAAAAGATTAAGTCACAATATAAAGTAATTGATCATAAGAATACAATAACAAAATAATTTGTAGAGAATCGAGATTTTATTATAATATGGAGAAATAATACAAAGATTTTGTGTTTACAATATTTCTAACTTCTTATTAAATTATAATGAAAAGCCAATTACATGTATGGAAATAGTAGTGGATGTTCAAACCCTCATAGTAGAATTGTAGTTGAAGTTGAATGCAAAAAAAGAGTCTAAAATGGAGTAGAGGAGAAAAAATCGTGCAAAAGACGAAACAGATAGGTGGCGCAGTGGTAGTGTTGAGCGAAAATTGCATTGGGCCTCAGCACCCTTTTCGGGTTCCTTTACTTCAAAATCTTGATTTTTTTTCATCCAAATGTCTTCTTCAAATCCAACACAGAATCCTACTCCCAACAAGCTTTCAATTAGAACTTCAATTAGAATTCGCCAAATAAACTTGAATAGGATTTCATAATAGAATTTCAAATAGAATTCTTCTTAATGTGCACTTTAATTAGAACTCTTAATTATTTTCGACAAAGAATTCAAGTTACACCCAAATTCTAACATTGTCTATTTCCATAAGACCAGTATCCAGCTTTGCGGGCAACCAAAGATGTCGTAGAATTAACGTCGACCCCAACATGATTATCATTAATATCAACACCTCGTACTTCGATGGAGTGGGATAAAAGTGAATATTAGACCATGTCCCTAAATGATCTGGAATCTTTCCAGATGAGAATATTGAGCATAATCATCGATGTTTCTTTTATGGAACATGATGTTGAGAGACCGTAATCACTTGATTCTTCTAATCTTACCTTGTTGTGAAATTTAGGGCCCGTTTGATTCTCATTATTGTAGAATGAGAATGAAAAATATAGCCGTTATTGTGCCCCACACAAGAGATAGAAATTCAAAATTGATGGCTTGATGTGATGGATAACGGTCATATTTTTCATTTTTATGGATGAATATGGATGAAAAATGAGAAACAGACGGAGGCTCAATGACTCCTTTAATGATGCACGAATCTTTTCGAATGAGACTATTGACAAGCTATAGGGATAGGATAGTCTATGTTTCTTGGAAAATTATATTTCCATGACAATTTTTATTTCTTGCACCACATTTTAATTACACTTAAGGTTGTCAATCTTTAATCATTATAATATTTATATCCCAAATGACTTTTTATGGCATTCTTATACTCAAAAACTTTTTATTAACTAACTCATTTTGTATTGGATAACAGTATATGTCCAAAAACTCCATTGAAATAGAGTATAATGATTTATTTTTAATCATATTTTGCAAAAATAAAAATAATAAAAAAGTACAAAAAAATATTTTCCCTTCATCTCAAAGAATGAAAACAAAATATTTTAACAAAAATCATAATCAAGAACAAGATGTACTAATTAATGAAATGTTGAAAAAAATTCGACAAAAAAATTAAGAAAATAATTGCTTCAATAAGCAAAAACTAAGGATCTTAACTGCAATTAAAATATGGTATAATAAATAAACATTGTGGTGACAATATAACCACCCATATTTCTTTTATGGACATGTTGAGAGACGGCAATCACTAAATTCTTGTGATCTTGCGTCATTGTGGAATTTGATGACTCCTTGAACGATCCAGGAATACTTTTGGAGGAGAATATTGACTACTTACTAGAACAAGATCGCAAATATTTCTTTGTTGGACATGCTATTGAGAGATTGCAATCGCTAAATTTTCGTGGTCTTGGCTTGTCATAGATTTTGAAGACCCCTTGAACGATCTGGGAATCTTAGCAATAAGCGTTGAAATTTCCTGTTGAGAATAAGACTTTTCTTTATGCCTTCAGACAACATGCTCCTCATTGCAACAACTAAACCAGATTTGGTAGACAAGGCTTGCCCAACAAGAATCTTTGAATCCTCTTGGCAAGTAGCCCGATTAACTAATGGCCGAAGATCTATTGTGGATATTGTTGGAAAAATTGGTTTTAATTAGTTGATTTGACTAAATTTTGACTAATTATTTTAGTGGGTTCCATCAGTTGGATAAAATATTTATTTGGTTGAGTGTGTTCTACTTCATAAGTAGATTAATGTAATATATTTATTTTCTCAAAATCATTTAGGCTGAATGAGAAATTAATGACAAAAGATGACAACTTGAAGTTGAAATAAATTGATAATAAAAATTGATGGGAAATTGGAAGATGACAATCCCACATAGAAACTAGAATAATAGAAACCACTTTATATTACTCAAATTTGAAACTTGAGTTTGGACCCCAAGGGGTACTATAGTCTTTGAAGGGGAAATGACCTACATGCTAGTAGGTTGAGCCAAAGTTCACACGCGCGCGCCGCCATCAGTTCAACCGGGGAGCTGGCTCGAATCGGCATGGGTCGTGGGTCTTGGGCTTGGGCCAAGTTGGTATATATTTTTTGGTAAAATAATATTTGAATTATATTATTTTATTATTATTTAAAATAATAATATATTTATTTATATTATTAATTTTTCTCCGAAATTTCTGTATGCGATATGTGGCGTCTTCTAGAAACAGCGATTGATAGTTAAACTGTATGTCCAAAGGGGTTGTGTCTGTTGGAGACACAACTGTTCGGTTGTTGTGTCTTTTGTGCTCAACTTTTTAATTTCTATATAAAGGTCACCATACCCCGGATTTTATTCATTCCAAAATCTTTCCCGAATTTCTCTCTTATAAATAATAATCATTCCATCCTGCATTATTTTATATTGTTCATTTCAGTTCTGAATATTATTTTCGTGCATTTTAGTCTTCCAGTTTTAGAGAGATAAAAAACATTAGTAGGTTCGCAATGTCTTGTAATTTGGAGTGTGCTACTATTATACGTTGAAGTCGTTGTATCTTGGGAAACAAGTGTTGAAAGACTGTCAGCACCAGTGCAGGGTATTATCGTCTCAAGGAGAAAGAATCGAACTCTTGTTTCGATCATTATCATTTTATTTTGTTCATTTTTTTAAGTCAGTATTCTGCCCAAAATTATTGCAGGTTATATAATTAGTTGCCAATAATTTTAAGACGATAATTGCAAGAAATACTATATCTATCGTACTTTTTAATAATACTCACGGGGAGAAATCGAAAAAATTCATGGGAATGAATTTTAAGAGATGACAACAAAAAATGTTGTTTTATCTCATAACTCTGAATTTGACAAAATTCTTGAGAGAAGATGCTACAACTATAGAGGATGAGGAAACAGATCCTAAAAAAATGAGCAGCATTCGATGAATGGAGTCATAGTGATATCTTGTGCATGAACTACATCCTCAATTCTCCTGAAAACACACTATACAACGTATAAAATTCGGCCAAGACAGTTGAATTACTATGGGAATCATTGAAAAAGAAGTACAAAATGGAAGATGTCGATTGAAGAAATTCGTTGTATGCAAATTCCTGTAATTCAAAATGGTAGATTCTAAAACGGTGACGAATCAAGTCCAAGAGTTACAAATCATCTTGCACGTTATACATGCAGAAGGTATGAAACTCTGTGAGTTATTTCAGGTCACTGCGATTCTTGAAAAATTACCACAAATGTGGGAAGATTTCAAGAACTATCTGCAACATAAACACAAGGAAATGTGACTTGAAAATTTGATTGTAAGATTAAAAATTGAGGAAGATAATCGAAATTCTGAAAAGAAATCTGGAAAGCTGCAAATGGATGCTAAAGTAAATTTGGTAGAGCTAAATACTAACAAGAAAAGGAAGCACTCGGGTAATGGCAAGCAAAAGAGCAAAGCTAAAAAAATTCAAAGAAGATTGATATAGCTGTGGTAAGCCTGGTCACATCGCAAAGAACTGCCGAAAAAAACAAAAACAAAAAGGACCAAGTGCACTTGCCCCAGGAAAGCAAATTATCTAACTGTGTATCTGAACTAATGCTCTCAGTTGTTGTATTTGAAGCAAACACGATAGACAATCCAAGAGAATGATTCCTAGACACGGCGCTTCTTGTCACGTTTGTGCTAATAAGGAGATTTTTTTCATCTTACATTCTTATCAATGGATGACAACTATTCATGGATAACTCGACAACATCAAAAGTTGTTGGTTTTGGTAAAGTAGTGTTGAAGATGACATCGAAAAAATGAGTAACACTCATCGATGTGCTGCATGTTCCCAGACGAATGAGAAAATCGTATTCTCTATCAAATATAATGGGTCTGAACATCACTATATAAAGAGAAAAGAGTAAAAACCAAAAGGTAAATATAATAAATTATTCCAAAGTATCACCACTACCATCTATCATTTCCCAGCTTCTTAGTTTGACTTTGGCGTCGGAGACTCCACGTCGAAACCCCTTCTGACGTACCTTATAATGCTTCTCTTTGATTACATAAATCAACTCATCGATTCTCTTTGTTGATCAATGTTGTCCATCAAAAGATTAACTTAATAGTTATCTTTTCCTTCCCATCCTATCACCTTGCCATATTATAAGGATTGTGGATAGTAGGAGTGGGATTTGAAGAAGATGACCTTTTTTGGTTTATGTTTATTTCTTCAAGGAAAATTTATCTTTTCATTGAAACTGCAAGTGTTTAAAATGATAAATTGGGTACCTTAACGAAAAGAAAAAAGAATAGAAACTAAAGTTCACAAGGGATCAAAAGTGAGGGACCAAAAGTGCAATTTAACCAATACGAAAAAACTAAATATAAAAACGATAAAATAAAAAACTGGATATCCCTCATATCAAATTTCGTGCTTTTAATAATTTAACTAGAGAATAATTATTGGATTTACCAACAACACTCGCGCATGTTTGCAAAATAAATAATAATAATAATTATTAATTAATTATATATTGAACTATTTCTAGAGAGAGAAAGAGAGAGAAAGCACACCAAAGCGAAGAAAATCACTAATTCGAATCTTTATCTCCGTAAAACAATATCCTGTTTAATGCATACGCATTATACAAAGGTAAGCAGCTTAATTTAATTTTCGTAAATATCCTTTTTTTGATGGGTCCATTTGACTTTGTGATTATCTACAATAAATCAATGTATATCTATTGCCGCATTGATCTTAGATTTCAATTTATTATTATTATTTTTATTTTTTTAATGTAGAGTTATATTGTAACTAACTGAAAGTATTGTCTCTGATTTATATTTCCCCCGATTGGTAGTTAGTGCGTGTGAAACTGGGATTTCTGTTGGTGGTTTTATAATTCTTAAAGTCAATGTTGGCGTTGAGGTGCTCTTTTTTAGGGATAATGGTTCAACTTTTGTGTTGAGGAGTAAATTCCAGCCTGAACTGGATTTTTTAATCGTTTCTTGTGAGAAGAGTCATATACTCTGCCTTTTTAACTGTATTTGAACCATATATCTGGTGAACTGACGAGAATGTTAAATATCTGAACTTTGATTTCTCATGTAGCGTTTTGTGTGTGCTGAATTTGGATTTGGATTTGGATTTGTTAATTTAATTTAGCTTCTTAGTACTACTGAAGTTATTTATTATTTGGATGGTGATTTCTGATTCTGGTATAGTCTAGACTATTGGGTTATTTGTGGATGAAGGGGAGAATTGAGGGCAAAAGGAGATGAAGGTTATTTGGGTGTTGGAGATACAATGACGGGAGTGTCATTGGGTCTTAGGACATCGGCAAGTTTGGGGTCACTGCAGCTACAGGCACAGAGCGAAGGGTTGCAGGCTCAGAATTTGTACATTGTTCGTAAAACTTCAAAGATATACGGTTCCGGTGCTAGGGCGAAGGAAAGGCTTCTTACTTGTATTTGCAGGTATTCAAGTCGAAGGAAAGTTGGAATGCTGATTTTGACTGTCTTCACAATCTTGGCTTTTATGATAGGGTGCATTACAGTCCATAAAGGTTCGGATCTAGATTCATCATTTTTATTTCCCTGCCATTAATAAAATGCTATCGCTGCCAAACTTAACAAGTTTGCAAGACGAAATACTCTAGAATCAGTTAATATTCTGGTAATTGAGTCAGTTACATATGATTGTTGCGCATTATACCTTTGAACCAGGGCATATGTATGACTTTTTAATGCTAGACATGCTCTGTTTAACATGCCCAGCATGAAAATTTGATTTGAATTCTTTGATTAATCACATAATCGTCTCTTGAATGGATTACTAATATATCCTCGATGGCTTGTTGTCAGAGAATGATTTGGAAAGCTCTGCATTGAACTTCGATTCAAGATCTTACAACCAGTCTCATCATTTACCCTCATTTTTGCCTATAAAAGAAGTATTGCAATATGACCGTAACACTATGGTGAATAAAGTTGCAGTATGCCATGAGAATACTGGCTTGCATCCTTCTCTTTCACATGCTTCTGCTTTGAGTGTCTCTTTTGGTGCTGCTACTTCTTTGAAGAATCCGTGTAAAGATTTTGCATTTCCCCCTCCCCCTCCTGGTGATAGGAGACGAATTGGACCGCGCCGTAAGTTGTGTTAGCTCAAAATATTCTATGAAATATATATTTGCAGCATATATCTACTGAGTTTCTAAAGCGAATATTGTGAGTAAAGAAAATATTTATCAATTGAAAGGATTGAGTTTCTCTTATTGTCGCATGTCTGTGCTAGTGTGGATTTAGAGCTTATGATCTTACTCGTACTTTATTCATTATCCTCAGCATGTCCAGTATGTTATGCTCCTGTGGAACAGGCTATAGCTTATATGCCCAGCTCCCCTTCAGCATCTCCTGTGCTCCATCATTTGAATTATTTTTCTGAGGAAAACCCTATTAAAACTGAACTACGTGGAGGCTCTGAGTTTGGTGGCTATCCTTCTCTTAAACAGAGGAATGATTCTTTTGATATAAAAGAGTCAATGACTGTGCATTGTGGGTAGGTATTACTCATTTTGTAATTCTTCTCAGTACATGGCTCCAATGTGTGGGGAATATATTATTCCAGTCTGAAACCATTTAAAGTATGATTCTATAGATTTTATCTAATGCATATTCCCTTTACTTTTTCCTCTTTTTCTTTTCCAGATTTGTTAAGGGATGCAGACCAGGTGATGGAACTGGATTTGATATTGATGTGGCCGATCTCAGGGAGTTGGAGCAATTCCATGAAGTCATTGTTGCCTCCGCCATATTTGGTAAAGCTGAACATAAGCTTTATCGAAAGTTTCAAAACTTCATGTATATGAGATTTCACCATTGGAGACTACTATCACTGCTGAACCTGTGGAAATGCTAGCACGTTGTCTGATGTCTATTTGTACACTTAGCTCATGTTTGGTAGTTGTTTGATTATAAACACTTTGATCTAACATACTTTTTATCCCCACATTTCGTAGGACCCACAAGTACTACCCATTTATCCACTACTCATTGCTATCCATTTATAATTTAAACTGTTTGTAATCACCTACCAAACAAGCTATTGATTTTTCTACCAAGCTTAATGTCTGTTTCTTTCTGTTTGACCTCTGTACAGGAAACTATGACATAATTCAACAGCCAAGGAATATTGGTGAAACTGCAAGAGAAAATGTTCGTTTTTATATGTTTGTTGATGAAGAGACTGAAGCTTTTATGAAGAACGCTAGTCTCTTGGGAAGTGACAAAAGGGTTGGGATATGGCGGATTATTGTCGTTCACAACGTGCCTTACACCGACCCAAGAAGAAATGGAAAGGTTAGTTCCCTTTATTTGGGATCTGTTTCCCTTTCTACTTACCATATCTGCCAAAAGTATCAATTCCAAGCGATTTGTACTTTGGTACGTTGTTGCAAAGATGGTAATGGTGATTGTAACTAGTATCTTGGGTGTTTGTTTGGATTTAAAGGTTTCTTATTCAATCACGGATGTTAAAGTCGTTCGACACCTTTCAATTACCATTTAGTTACTTCTTCTTCTTCTTTTTTTTTTTTGAATATCCAGAAGCCTTGTTGGCCATAAGGCATCTATTTGCTGCAAATTATAGTATGAGTTAAATTTCCTCATCAAAGAATTAAAATAAAAATGGAACTCACAAGGCCTTGTTCTCGTTTAGCAAATTTTATGTATTGAAACAAATTGATAATTAATATTGAATTACGTGTTTTTTTCTTACTGTTTTCCTGTTCATAAAGTGCTGGAGTGGGTCTGCATTCGGGGGAGGAGTAGGTTTATCTGCTATTTGCGCACCATTAGGATGGAACTAAGATTTCTTAGTTTATTGTGGCAGGTGCCAAAGCTCTTACTGCACAGGTTGTTTCCCAACATCCGATACTCTATCTGGATAGATGGAAAGCTTCAGCTTGTTGTGGACCCATACCAGATTCTTGAGAGGTACTGTAGTATTACCCGTCATTGTTGTGCAAGGCTATACGAGTTACTACCGTGACTCATCCCTCAACTACATTCCTCAGATTTTTGTGGCGCCAAAATGCCACTTTTGCTATATCAAGACACTATAGACGCTTCGATGTATTTGAAGAAGCTGAGGCAAATAAAGCTGCAGGAAAATACAGTAATGGTTCTATTGATTACCAGATCAAATTTTATGAAAAAGAGGGTTTAACGCCGTACTCTGCAGCTAAGCTTCCCATAACTAGTGGTACATCTGTTATTTGTACGTTTTGGCTCATTTTTGGTTTCAAAAATGGTAAAATTAAACTGGCCAAAATTCTGTAGATGTTCCCGAAGGATGTGTTATAATACGAGAGCACATTCCCATCACCAATCTTTTCACCTGCCTGTGGTTCAATGAAGTTGATCGATTTACAGCTCGGGATCAGCTGAGTTTTTCAACTGTGAGGGATAAAATAATGGCTAAAGTTAACTGGAGCACCAGTATGTTTCTTGACTGTGAAAGACGAAATTTTGTGATACAGGTTGCACTTCTCCCCTTTATTATATTTATGGACATCATCTTCCCGTTGTTTTTATTTTTGTTTGAAGAGGGCATTGGGACACCACTCCGGTGTTTTGTTACCCGCTGGAGGCTTTTATTTTGAGGGGTGTTAATCTGCAAAATGCTTATGTTCCTGCAGACCTCGTATAAATTAAATGGTTGTAAGGCCAGTAAGCGTACTTGTGGAAATAGTTAATTACTCTGCACTATTTGCATTAGTAATGTACAGTTAAAGAAAATATCAAAAGATATTAACTGGTGCATGCATGTTGAAAATACTAAATCTCTTCTTGTTAGCTAATTAGTAGGTTATCAGTGGTAAATATCCGTAAGTATTATTTCTGATCGTTCGCGTACAAATTATGTAGTTAAAGAAATGGTAGAAGAACCAAGTACCCATGCATGCACATTTGATTAAGTCAATCCTCTCAATGTTTGGCTAAGTAGTAAGTTTATACTTAGTGTCACACTGGTCATCAAATTTGATTTTGTTTTACCATGGCCACCTAACTTCCTTCATACTTAGTGTTATATTGATCACCCAATTTAATTTTGTTTCACCATGACTACCAAACTTCATACTTAGTTTCAATCAAGCCACCCGGTAACTTTATTTAACATAATCAAATTGGGTGGCCAACACTAAACATGAAGTTGGGTGGCTATGGTGAAATAAAATCAAATTTCGTGGTCATTGGATCATAGAATATTCATCTTACAAGAAATTATCGACATCATAAAATATGTATCACAAGCACTAAGGTCAATTAAAAACAAAAATAAATAGGAACATAGTTCCAATAAAAGGAACCCAAGGGCCATATTATTCTCCAATTTGAGTTTTACTCACATCTCTACATGACACTAAATATGAAGTTAGGTAAATAAAATCAAATTGGGTGGCCATTGGTGTATTTAACCCATTTTCTACATGATTCTTGGACTGGTTTGGATGTCATAGCATTTTCTCAATAAGAACTCGATGTTATTTTTTTTATATCTATCCTGTTACATGCTGTTAAGCAGTTCCACCATATCTGCACATGATCGTGGAGTTCTTAATTGAACTTACCTTGCAATAAGACATGGTAGGTCGATATGTTCCTGAAACATTGAACAGATGGCATACTTGTTGAATTGCATTGTTACTTCGGATTTAATGTTTGAAACTGTTATGGTGGTTGCATAACAATTATCAGTCGATTCATTTACAGGCATATCACAGAGATTTGTTGGAGCAAAGGGCTCATATGGCTGTTGCAAGAAGTTATACTCCGCCAGCTCAAGTTCGTGACAGAAATCTTACTAAGAGACCTCCTGTTCGACGTGGAAAAGGAGATAGGAGATCTGGGTCAAGGAGACATCGTAAAGTCCCCCGAAATAGGGAAAATGCTTGAATTCAATTTTCTCTTTTTGTGCCAAAAAATTATGTTTTTAGTTTGACAAAAATAGGACTTTTTTTTAGATTTTTCTAGGATATAGTTGCATACTTTTAGCAGAGATGGAAATACGGAAGAAAAAAAATACTTGAATTTTGTGCAGAACTGTCAATATCAATTCTTTCTTGTTGTAAATACCATAAATGCCAATAATTTTGAGACAAGGTTTTTTTGGTTCAGACATTTCAAATGTACTTTTGATATTGTTGAGCTATTAGTCTTTCATTATAATTTTTTTCTCACGTTCTTATCCTTAACCTTAACCTTCTAGCTTATTGGCGCAAAACCTCCATATGCTTTGAACCTATTGCGAAATACCTTTCTATCGTTTTTAGATTGGTCGAAAAGGTATGACCTTTGAGGTGTTGAAAACTCCATTTCTTCCATTTTCTTTATAAAGCCTTGTGAAAAGGGAAGAATTTGGTAGTGGTGGGGGAATGAAGAAGATGGGGTAGGTGGGAGAGAGAGAGAATTTTTTATTTAAGATTCATTTGCACTTTTCTGAAAAATTTGGGACTGCAGTTAAAATAATTTTTATTTTCTTCTTTTCTTTCTTTCTTTCTTTCTTATTTCAGATAATTGCATCAGTTCAAAAATTCATTAGAAGGGGCACGTAATGACTTATGTGAATTATATTAATACCATGATTTTTATTTATTACCCCATATTTTAATTTCATTTAAGATGCTCAATCTTTGATCGTTATAATAGTTAAGTTCCTAACTTTTTCTGTCAAATTCTTGTCTCGAACCTGGGCTATAGCTGTCCACTATAGGAGCTTTCTTATAACAATCCCTTGCTTTGAATTAAAGGAAATATACTTCATCGCACCTTTTCATTTATTGGTGTTTAAAAAATATGATCGAAAAATAAGTCCTTTCTTTTTGTCATTTCAATGGATTTTTTGGACAAAAATTATTATTAGAGACGAGTTATCCTAATTAATGGAATGTTCAGCATAAGATGTATAGAAAAAAGTTAAAGATGTAAACGTTATAATGAGCAAATATTGAAGATCTTACTTACAATTAAAATAGGGAAACTTGCAGCCTGGTACCAAATCTTTCATTTAGAGCTTGTTTGGGAGAGATTAAAATCGAATTAAAATTGAAAAACTAGTCGTTATTGTTGACTTTTATTGGAGGGGTGAGACCCAATAACAACTATATTTTCAATTTTAATTGGATTAAAATTCCTCTCAAACAAGCTTTTAGTTGCAAACTTTGCTTAAACATTTCATTTGTACCACAATGGGTATCACACCTTCAATAATCCGCACTTCGAATCCAAATGGATGGAACACATTAGTTTGACCGTTAGTTGAACTGAAAATTGACATTGACCATAATTTTGACTAGGTTTAAAATGACACAATGGTAATTTTACATTTTTAATATAAAACACAATATAATATATTAATTATTAAATAAAAAATAAAAACAAATACCACCACCACCATCCATTTCTTCCCCTAACCCCTTTACCTCAAAATCGCCACCCACCTAACGTCGATGCCACCGTGACACCAGCCACCATCGATCGTGCCTATGGAGACCTCATATTCTCTCTTAACCTTATAATTGATCATATTTCAGATCTAGAATTTTTCAATTCATCTTTCAACTATATAGTCGATCCCATCCCAAATTTAGAATTTTTTCAATGGAGACCTAAATCATCAACAGTAAAGCCTAGCCACATTGAACAACCAGCAAAATAGTGGTGGATTGTATTGTGATTGTGACTGGCAAGACAAATGAAGCAGGTGTATGAATTAGTTTATTTAGGGCCCGTTTGATTCTCATTATTGTAGAATGAGAATGAAAAATATAGTCGTTATTGGCCCCACACAAGATATAGAAATTCAAAATTGATGACTTGATGTGATGAATAACGGTCATATTTTTCATTTTTATGGATGAAAAATGAGAAACAAACGGAGATTAAATATCTTTCTGGGACTTCTTCTATTGATATCCAGTGAATTAGTTGTGCGTTCTTGTTGTGGTGGTTCAGTAAGTGGTGGTGTTATTGGGTTCAACTGAAAGTGGTGGTTCAGCATGTGGTGTTAGTGCGTTCCTGCTGTGACCAGGGGCGGACCCAGAGCATTTGTGTTGTGGGGTCGAAAATGAGATTTCGAAAATATTTAGAACTATATATCGTTAACAAAAATAAGTCAACGCGCTATTACAGCTGTAGCCTACGCGTTTTCATACTCTGAAAACGTCATATAATTACATCGTTATCAATATTGTTTAGTATATCGTTTTCAATATATACAACCAAACTATCATTTAACCATTGATTCTTCCCGTATCTGATTCTTTCGGACCATATTTTTCTTTTTCAACACTCGTTTCAACAATATTTTTCCTCCACACTCGAACATACGGATTTTCGTTTAACATATTTCTCCATGTCTGTTAAAAAACAAACTCAATTCAATCTCACAAACTCAATTCAATCTCAATTAACCAATAACCAGACTGCAAAATTCAATTCAATCTCAATTCAATTCTACCGTTCTTCTACACAAACTCAATTCAATCTCAATTAACTAATAACCATACTGCAAAATTCAATTCAGTCTCAATTAACCAATAACTAGATTGCAAAATTCAATTCAATGATTTCAATCTACTGTTCTAAATTCTAATCTAAACAATTGAACCTGAATATGTGCATCTTATAACAAAAAATCACAAATACTAATTCAAAATCACAAATATGCATTCAAAATCACTTCTAATTGCATTCCGGGTTCACGGCACTTCACGCAGCAAGCCAACAACTACCACAATAACTAATAATCGAAAAGACCCAAGCTACTTACAGACTTACAGTAGGTTACTGCTGCCGATTGTCGAAGGATGAAGAAGATTTGAAGAAGAATCGCCGACTGCCGACTGGTCTAGGGCTCGACTCTACGTCTCTGCGGAACTGCAGGCTGGGCCGCTGAAGGCCTGAAGCTACATATGAGCTGCTGGATGACCTGTGAGTCAGAGGCGGAGTAGAGCAGCAGAGGCAGAGGCAGAGGCGAAGGTCTGGTTGGAATCGATTCTCGCTGGTTGCTTGATGAGGAGACTGGAGAGGGTTGTGTCTGTGAGTGAGTGAATGTGTTTTTTATTTCGTGGATTGGGCTAGTGTAATTGGGCCAGTGGATTGGGCTGCTTGGTGGTAAGTGTTTGTTTAAAAAAAAAAACTGTAGGGTCATCTGACCCCACATGACCCCATGTGGGTCTGCCCCTGGCTGTGACAGTGATGTTAGTGTTCAGTAGGTGGTGGTGTTAGTGGTGAGTGGACTGGTGTGATGAGACACTGTCGACGAGATGGAGAATTGGGATATGGGAGGGTGTGTGGTTTCGACGGTGGAGAGACAATAAGTTGTAGGCGACAGAAATGGAAAACACAATGTATAGTTCCAACCCAGGATATTTTGGTTTTGGTTTTGGTTTTGGTTTTGGTTTTGGGATAGAAATCCGAGTGAGGAGGAGAAAATTGTTAAGTTGGTGGTGTGGATAGCGAAATTCCGATGATGCCGCCTTAGAGGCGACTGTGGTGTAGACATCGTGGAAGAGGGGGTGGTGATGGTAGAGTCGTTGTCAGGTGGGTGACAGTGATTTTGAAGGTAGGGGTGGGTAGTTTTGGTTTTGTTTTTTATTTTCTGTTTTTTGTTTTTTTAGTTAATATACTTGTGTTTTTTTTTGTTTGCGAAAAATGTAAATTTACCATATTACCCTTTTAAAAATTGATCAAAATAAATCAAACTCTAATTCTCTAGTCGACTAACAGTCAAATCAACGTTTTCATCTATTTGGACTTCAAGTGCGGATTTTCGAAAGGTTTGGTACCCATAGTGGTGTAAATGAAATGTTTGGACAAAGTCTGCAATTAAATGAAAGGTTTGGTACCGTGATTGTATTTTTCCCATTAAAATATGATGTAATTAATAAAAATTGTGGTGCAAATATAGTTATCTAAAAACTTTATTTGTTCCTCGTATTCTTAGACATGCAAAATAAACAACAAATTTGACAAAATATGCCGTATACCAGAAACCATCATTGTAGACAATATGTGTTAATTAATTAAAAAAGAACAAAAATGCAACAAAAAATATTTAAGGATTGAATTGCCAAAAAAAAAAAAAAAATTGGAATTAAAATAGGATGCTGTTAAAAAATATATATATAGTGCAAATATGGGCCAGTTTGAGTCCCTTTTTTTTTTTTTTTGACAAAAATGTATTTTGGAATAGTGATTTGATGGAAAATGTGTAGTTGAAAAATAAAGAAAAGTTTTGAATTTACTTGTAATATTATTGAAAAATGTGTGAATAAAAATAAAAAAAAGAAAAATGTATTTTGAAAATAATGATAACCAAACAAGGAAATAATTACCCTAATGCAAATATATCTAAAAAGAATTAGGAAAAGTATACTACTTGCTTTCTATTTTACAATATAATTAAATGGCAATTTGAAGTTTTTATCTGGTGTTTCTTCTTGCCATTTGAGTTTCTTATCTTCGATTTCTTTGTACGTAGATCTCTCCAAATGTATTTTATGCAAAAAATAAAAAAAAATCATTTAATATATAACGAGTCAATGCCATAAGTAATTTTCTTTTTCTCGTTTTTAATTTAATTTTTTTTTTTAAATTGAAAGTTGGTCACTATATATGCCTGAAACATTTTAAGCTGTAACAATTGCACTATAAAAAAAAACATTTCAAGGGCAATATTTTAAATCTATATCTTTAAAAATCGAGTTCGGAGATAGGCCCCGTTTGATATACATTATTATCTCATTAAAATGAAAAATATGACCGTTATCCATTATATCAACATTTAAATTCAAATTTTCTATCTCTTATGTGGACTCCAATAACGACTATATTTTTCGTTTTCATTTTACAATAATTTGGCTCAAAGAGGGCCATAAATGAAACTCCAAAAA